AGCGTGTTGGTGATGTGAGGTGTTTTGTGGGGATAACGTGTTGGTGATGTGAGGTGTTTTGTGGGGATAACGTGTTGGTGATGTGAGGTGTTTTGTGGGGATAGCGTGTTGGTGATGTGAGGTGTTTTGTGGGGATAGCGTGTTGGTGATGTGAGGTGTTTTGTGGGGATAAGCGTGTTATCGTGTTGGTGATGTGTGATAAGGAGGTGCGGTTTGGGGATAACGTGTTGGTGATGTGAGGTGTTTTGTGGGGATAGCGTGTTGGTGATGTGAGGTGTTTTGTGGGGATAACGTGTTGGTGATGTGAGTGTGTTTGAGGGATAGCGTGTTGGTGATATGATGAGGTGTTTGTAGGGATAACGTGTTGGTGATGTGAGGTGATTTGTGGGATAACGTGTTGGTGATGTGAGGTGTTTTGTGGGGATAGCGTGTTGGTGATGTGAGGTGTTTTGTGGGATAACGTGTTGGTGATGTAAGATGTGTTTTGTAGGGATTGCGTGTTGGTGATATGAGGTGTTTTGTGGGGATAGCGTGTTGGTGATGTGAGGAGGTGTTTTGTTGGGGATAAGCGTGTTGGTGATGTGAGGTGTTTTGTGGGGATAAGCGTGTTGGTGATGTGAGGTGTTTTGTTGGGATAACGTGTTGGTGATGTGAAGTGTTTTGTGGGGATAAGCGTGTTGGTGATGTGAGGTGTTTGTTTTGTTGGTGATAAGGTGTTTTGGATAAGCGGTGATGATGTGAGGTGTTTTTGGGGATAACGTCTTGGTGGATGAGGTGTTTTGTGGGGATAACGTGTTGGTGATATGAGGTGTTTTGTGGGGATAAGCGTGTTGGTGATGTGAGGTGTTTTGTGGGGATAACGTGTTGGTGGTGTGGAGGTGTTTTGTGGGATAACGGGATGGCGTGTTGGTGATGTGAGGTGTTTTGTGGGGATAACGTGTTGGTGATGTGAGGTGTTTTGAGGTGTTTTGTGTGGGGATAGCGTGTTGGTGATGTGAGGTGTTTTGTGGGGATAGCGTGTTGGTGATTGGTGATGTGCGTGTTGAGGTGTTTTGTGGGGATAAGCGTGTTGGTGATGTGGGGAGGTGTGATTTGTGTGGGGATAGCGTGTTGGTGATGTGAGGTGTTTTGTGGGGATAGCGTGTTGGTGATGTGAGGTGTTTTGTGGGGATAACGTGTTGGTGATGTGAGGTGTTTTGTGGGGATAACGTGTTGGTGATGTGAGGTGTTTTGTGGGGATAACGTGTTGGTGATGTGAGGTGTTTTGTGGGGATAACGTGTTGGTGATGTGAGGTGTTTTGTGGGGATAGCGTGTTGGTGATGTGAGGTGTTTTGTGGGGATAACGTGTTGGTGATGTGAGGTGTTTTGTGGGGATAGCGTGTTGGTGATGTGAGGTGTTTTGTGGGGATAACGTGTTGGTGATGTGAGGTGTTTTGTGGGGATAGCGTGTTGGTGATGTGAGGTGTTTTGTGGGGATAGCGTGTTGGTGATGTGAGGTGTTTTGTGGGGATAGCGTGTTGGTGATGTGAGGTGTTTTGTGGGGATAGCGTCTTGGTGATGTGAGGTGTTTTGTGGGGATAGCGTGTTGGTGATGTGAGGTGTTTTGTGGGGATAGCGTGTTGGTGATGTGAGGTGTTTTGTGGGGATAGCGTGTTGGTGTATGAGGATATCGTGTTAGTGATGCGTATGGGTTCTGTTTCTCATTTCCTTTCAGAAGAAATCTCTTCTGGAAATGAAGATTATTGGTAAACCACACCACCCTCTATACGTTGGTGGTGGCATGAACATAAAATCGGAGCTGGGGTGGGTCGGGCTGGGGTGGTGTGACCATGATGCCCAGGTATCTAAAGAGTTGGTCCACGATTGTGAAACTCGGTTCTGCCCGAATATATTTCTAGATTTGCCAACACCACAACCCTGCTTGCTGATTCCCAGAGTGGTTACCAGGTACGACATGAATCTATTTTGCTTTTCCCTCGATTTAAGCCATGATGTCACGGTGAATGAGTGAGTGGGTTTTACTCCGCACTCACCGATATTCCAGCTATATTGCGGCGGTATGTATATAATGGAGTCAAATCAGTGATCAACATCATGAGCATCGATCTACGCAATTGGGATATGATGACACGTGTCAACCCGATCCTGTTAGTAGCAACTCACTGTTCAATAATACCAACCCATTCTCTCTGTACTGTATATTCGGTGTATGATGTAATACCTATCACGCAAGGGGAAACTCAAGACAAGACAGAGACACATCTTAAAGGAGCTATGGCTCTCAAAGTTGTTTGTTTGTTTGTTGTTTATAGAAGAACAGTTGCTAGTATTTGACGACGGTCTTCAGATAATCGAATCTGGACCAGATAATTTAATGATTGACATCACAATTTGCAGAACTGCGATACGATCACATTCATCCACCAAGCGAGCCTAAGTACCCGATGCCGCTGGTCGCCTCTTACGACAAGCGGGCGGTGGGGTAGCCAAGTGGTTAAAGCGTTCGCTCGTCACGCTGAAAGGCCGGGTTCGATTCCCCATATGGGTACAATGTGTGAAGCCCATTTCTGGTGTTCCCCGCAGTGGTATTGCTAGAATATTGCTAAAAGCGGCGTAAAACCCACCTCAGTCACTCACTCTCACGACAAGCAAGGGTTATTGAATATCAGCTCAAACCCGGTCGGTTTCAAGGATAAATTGTTGCAGTACGGTCAACCGCGTAGGGTCAGACTAATGTCAGCTACTGTCTTATCAGCACCAACATCTTATTGTTATGCGATTCTTGCATCCATCGTCTTACTTTCCAGTACTTGTTTATCGGAAAAGATTTTTCAAACACTGAGGTCACACGGAAGTGGGAATTAATGACACCAACGGAATTCTATTAATACAGAAGTAATGAAAATATAAAAAAACAGGGCCATATATGGAGTTGATTCTACTCTTGAGAAAGCACACCGCCCCTGGCTTACGACGCCAATACGTTGCCAAACGTACCTAAGAAACGCCCCTCGTCTTGTATATAAGATTAGGATGTATATTTCACCCTCTGACTTGAGACAAAGGGGCAGGGAAAGCGGACAGTGTACAAGGTGACGAGTCTTTTCCTGTCTTAATATACTGTAATATATAACGTTGTGTTAATTCCATAAATTGAAGTTTGATTGAACGGACAATATTTATCGAGTTATCCGACATTGATACAGTCGTGAGTGAGTGAGTAAGAGTTCTTTTATGGTGCAGTGTTGCATCATTATCATAAGGGGGACACCAGAAATGGGCTTAAAAATTGTAACCAATTTAGGAATCAAACCCGAGTCGTCGGCGTGACTAGCAAACGCACTAACCACTAGGCTACCCCACCGTCCCTACGAGGTTTGATACAAGCGGTGCAGTGTGTATGCGTACACGTTCCCTCGTCTTAACGATATAGTCAGTGACGTCAGTTCACTGTCATCTTAGACATGTCCGCGTTTGCTTACTGAACACTGACAAATGTGTGTTTTGTTTTATTTGCAGGTGATCATGGGAGTAAGGTCGGAACTCCTCATTGTCTGTGTGGTGATGTCCATCATTTTACAGATGGCGTCTACCGATAGGGACGGGATCGGAAAGCCCATGGATTCAAAACTTAGTCGAAAGAAGAGGATTATTGGAACTATTATCTCTGGAATCGCCGGTGCGATAAGTACTGTAATACCATTTGTGAGAAATCTTTTAAGTTCTCGTAGAGCAGATACTGAAAAGGCAATGAAAGAGATGAAGACGATGATGAAAAAAGAGAACATGTCAGAAAGAGTGCACGGTAGAGCCGAGATGCTGCAGGCTGTCCTCGAAGTTAAGATGGCGATGGATGGTAAGTTGTCTATTTAGGGACAAGGGTCCCATCCCACAAAGTCCTCTTAGCGCTAACATGTTCATACTGATGCAAAAGTTTGTGATAAACGTAATTCGCTGAAACCGCAATGAGGAATGGGCCCAATTCAAAAAGTTGATTTTGTATTAGGCTAGCGCTTAGTCTCTGAATATATGTTATTTTGATAGTAACAAACAAACCCATTTAAATTTAAAAGGAGACCCAGGGATTTAGAACCTGAGGAAATCTAGACTTTTTTCATTTCGGGCTTTAGCACTGCAGAGAGGGCTTGGCAGTAGGGAAAATAATGTGTTTCAGGAACTGTGAGACAGACTAATTTTGTATAATATTATTTATCATCCAAAACTGTGTTCCAAGGGAGATATTGCTTGTGTGAGATCAAACAATATCTCCTTGACAGTAGATTTTGTATAATGCCCTAACATTGCTATGACGTCATGAACTTGATGACGTTACAATGCTATGACATCGCTGCACTGCAAGTCTAATGGCAGTAATGTGTTCAGAGATGTACATTTTTCATTGAAAACTAAAGAAGAATGATTTTTGATGATAAATAGAATCTCACCCTCGTGTCTTCTGATATCAAATATACCAACACACGTTCATAAAAGTGAAAATATCCTTTGTAACTTTGTAACTGTATCAACTCATGGTGATATATTTGATATCAAAAGACACTCGGGTGAGATTCTCTATATATCTACTTGTAATCGACTTGACAATTCAAGTTAACTGTTCGTCATATGTGTCTGAAATAAGTCTAAAAGATGGCGTTGCTTGGTCCATATACTACCATTGTTACCTTGTGTGAGGTAAGTGGGTAATAAGATAGGGTGGTCAGATTCTTTAACATGGTTGATGCATGGAATCGATACCCAGTTACATAGATCGATAGAATAAATTGATAATATAAATCACAGGTGTGTCTGGTCCAGAGTCGTTGGGTTTATAAAAGTCATGCTACTTGAACATTGCATAGTGTGCCTTTCTACAACACACATATTTGGGCAGAAATGAGGTCCCTTGATATTTGACATTGAACCTTTTTCTGTTTTCTACAGCTTCATCTGCAACTGCCTGCAGCTGCAGCTGCAGCTGGTTGATGGTGTCTTGTGCCACCTTTCTGGTGGCCTTCAACCTGCCCCGACACGTGCTCTGAAATACCCGTGTGTCCATACTGCCGCTGAGCTTTAGCTACTGCATCTACCGTACACAAGCTTGGGCAACACACGCTCCTACACCACATCTACCGTATACAAGCTTGGGCAACACACGCTCCTACACCGCATCTACCGTATACAAGCTTGGGCAACACGCTCCTACACCGCATCTACCGTATACAAGCTTGGGCAACACACACTCCTACACCACATCTACCGTACACAAGCTTGGGCAACACACGCTCCTACACCACATCTACCGTATACAAGCTTGGGCAACATACACTCCTACACCACATCTACCGTATACAAGCTTGGGCACCACACTCTCCTACACCACGTCTACCGTATACAAGCTTGGGCAACACACGCTCCTACACCACATCTACCGTATATACACGCTCCTACAACACATCTACACCACATCGTATACAAGCTTGGGCAACACACACGCTTACAAGCGGGCAACACACCTACACACCACATCTACCGTATACAAGCTTGGGCAACACACACTCCTACACCACATCTACCGTATACAAGCTTGGGCATACACTTGGGCAACACACTCCTACACCGTATACATCTACCACACTCTTACACCACATCTACCGTATACAACATCCTATCTACCGTATACAAGCTTGGGCAACACACGCTCCTACACCACATCTACCGTATACAAGCTTGGGCAACACACACACTCCTACGCCACTCGCTGAACTACCTCTACTGCATATACGCTTCGACACCATGCACTTCAACACCACTCCCTGAACGGCCTCAGCCGTATACAGTCTTGGTTGGACAACATCATCCTCAACGCCGCTCACTGAACGGCCTATACCGTGTACAGGCTACGACATCGTCCGCTTCAACACCATTCGCATCTCATCTGTTAATCCGGACAAGTGTGAAGAAGGATATTGACTAATTAAGACTTTGTTAAACAGGAAATTTGTTATTCCGGACAAGTGTGAAAAAGGATATTTACTAATCAGGACATCTGTTAAACTGGAAATGTGTTAATCCGGACATTTGTCAGTCCAACCATCTGTTATTATGAACAATATTCATGTGAGTTATCACACAGAGTAAACACAGCAATACTGACTGCTCCACAGTCGTTGATCGATATATTGGTACTATTTTCCTTCCCCAGCCATTGCGGATAACCTTCTTTGCTTCTTTGCGTGAAAGTTAGTAAACCTTCAGAGAATAAGCTTCAGTCAAACTTCAATAAATTTCAATAAAGCTTTACAGTGTTGTTTGTCGTTTATTTCGTCACCCATATGTATTCTTTAATAGAAGTAACATTTGCCATCAACTAGACCTATAGATTGTATGACATTTCGTTAACTCGATTTTCTGTAAACAGTCGAAATGATGTCGAGTTATTTACAGTTTTAGACCAGTGCCATGTCGAAATTCTTAGTTTCAAGGTTTATTGCACTCTGCAAAGGAAATTAATGGGATTATCGATATGTTGAGTAAGTGGCCTGCAATCGTGTCCAAAATGACTCACTAAGTATATACATATATTATCGCGGTAGGGTAGCCCAGTGGTTAAAGCGTGTGTGAAACCCATTTCTGGTGTCCCAAGCCGTAATACTACTGGAAAGTCACTCACTCACTCACTCATTCACTCATTATATCACCCAGCAGTGTTCGCCATCTAAAACGAATAATTTCCAGTTAGCGATAAGACATTGTACGTTGTTACGGAAACATTTCGAGGTACCTGTAGTTCGACACAAGCGGAATGTCTGTGTAAGACGATATATCTAGATAATGTCGCGTCACAGGAGTGACATCTTACTCACCTGGCACTGTGTCATGGTGGAAGGGAACTTGAATTGTTTGCTTAAAAAGCAGTAAGAAGGAATCGAGAGGAATTTATGTGCCAGGGATAGTTTTAATCTGCGACGGAATCGTGGCTGTCTTGCAGCCAACATTTTCTCAGTTGTGTCGCAGATGTTTACTCGGGGTACAAGGAGGCACGAGTAGTAGTAGTTCATTTCGGTAAATCAGGCCACAGGCCCATTTTACAGTTAATGTTTTGACAAAGATGTTGATGTTGCGCCACCAGTGCATGTATCAATGTTTGAGTACAACAAGTAGTTATATCTAGTACAATGTATATGTGAATATAACATATGTAGGTTATGTAATGGACAATTGCTTGCTCCTCATTTTAACAGCAAAGAAAGTAAACTTGGCAAGATTATTAAGCATGGAAATATTTTTGGTGGTAAAAATAAGATTACGTTTACACGCTGAAGGAAATTTGTAGTAATATCTTGGCAGGAAATATCTTCTAAGGTCATTATCAAATGGATACACTAGACAGACATGGTATTCTGTTTCTACATTTGGGATGATACAAAATGGACAAAGTCTTTCACTTTAAGGTATGCCTAAGTTTGAACCCTGTGATATCATAAGGTCACACTACAGGGTGTACGAAATTGTGGAAGAGTAATCCTAAATGCAACAATATTAAAATCATTTAAATAGTTTTCATATTCATTGGATAACTTAATTGTTTTATAAAAATACAGTGAAGATAGTTTGTCAAACGATTCAAAGAGAAACTGATTATCAATATCAGTGCACCGTGTTCTAAAAGCTGGTAGAAACGATTGAATGCAGGAAACAGATTGCCGGTTCCAGATTTCACCAAATCCATAAGAACTTAAGAGGTTTTTAACTTTAAGTGCCCAACAATCCAGACCCTTTTCAGCCCGGATGTACTGATATACATAACTGTAATGTAATATACTGTTTTCACTCTCGGATAATAAACGTAACCAGTACTTAATTATGTTCAACTGTTGGTTTCCTTTTAATGAGTATCTCCCCAGTTCTGCTTTCGCAACTATATAAGGGACAGATCTTCTTAACTTTAATATGAGTTTACAGAATTTATCATGAACATTCAAAATATCTTAAGAAGGATGGAATCCGCATATTTCTGAGTCATTCAATAGTCGTTACAGACCGGGAACAAAACGGGTGGACAGACCGGGAACAAAACGGGTGGACAGACCGGGGACAAAACGGATGGACATACAAGGGACTAAACGGATGGACAGACCAGGGAATAAACGGACGGACAGACCGGGGACAAAACGGGTGGACAGACCGGGAACAAAACGGGTGGACAGACGAGGGACAAAATGGGTGGACAGACCAGAGAATACACGACTGGACAGACCAAGGATTCAACGGACTGACAGACCGGGTACCAAACGGATGGACAGACCAGGGACTAAACGGATGGACAGACCAAGGACTAAACGGATTGACAGACCAGGAAATAAAGATGGACAGACCAGGGAATAAAAGGATGGACAGATCAGGGACTAATCGGGTGGACAGACCGGGAACATACCGGGTGGACAGACGGGGACAAAACGGGTGGACAGACCAGGGACTAAACGGACAGTGGGCTAGACGGGTGGCCAGACCAGGGGCTAAGCAGGTGGCAGACCAGGGGCTAAACGGGTATACAGACCCGGGACTAAACGGGTGGACAGACCAGGGACTAAACGGGTGGACAGACCAGGGATTAAACGGATGGACAGACCAGGGAATAAACAGGTGGACAGACAAAGGAATAAACAGGTGGACAGACCAGGGAATAAACAGGTGGACAGACCAGGGACTAAACGGATGGACATACCAGATACTAAACGGATATGCAGCTTAGGGACTATACGGGTGGACAGACCAGGGACTAAACGTGTGTACAGACCAGAGACTAAACCTGTGGACAGACAGGGTGGTATTTGAATCAGTGCATATACATGTAGACAGACTGCGTATTACCGTAGTTAGACAGACCGGGTACTGTAAAAGGATGGACGGATTTGATCAACGAGGATACAGAAATGGGAGGACACGATATAGTCTATTCTGATATTATTCAAATACTGTAAAATGCTTTATCAGTAATTTCTTATCATAAGGAAAAATGCTAATTTGAGACACATGACACAAATATAAGGGTGTATGATATCAACCAATTTTCTGGCCTACACACGAATTTTAACAGGCTGCCATGCATTAGCTGTAATTTTGTAATAAAACAACAGGGTTTTAACCTACACTGTTAGATATTTCACACATGTCAGGCATGTATCCACATAATGTAAACAGTTTCAGAAAATACTTATTTTTTTAAGAAAGTGGTTATCATAAGGCTTTTAATAAACATTGATATGAATCATATGCGAATTTAGTTTTCATAACACTCTTACGGTCAGCATAGGTTCGGGTTCGATTCCCAAGATGAGTTCAGTGTGTACGAGGGGCGTTCAAAAGTAGTCAGCCTAACTATGTTCTCGATGTCGAATGTTTGAAAAGTTTCCTTTTTATTTTGAAGGAGTCATTAGCAAAGCCATATAAAGAATTTCACACATATGTGGGTAATGTGGTTAACGAGATATTAGTCATCACAACACATTGGGGTACCTCTTGGATAATGGTATGCCCTAAGATAATATCGTATAAAATATTTCAGTATAGTATTGGATGACTTCCTGTCATAATCAACATTCAAAGATTTGGATTGCTTGATATATATTTAGATCGGGGCTGTTTTTTTAAGGACACCCCCGTTTTAATCTTTCAAAACATTGTGTCCAGATATTCAAGCTGACACTGGTTATAATATATTGAGAGGTGACACTTGTATGTTCAGTATTTAGTTTAGCTTGGCATCACGTATGAATAAGTGAAAACATTAGAATAAATTATGTCCTCATTATTACGTCATTTGAAAGGGGGGTGGGTATAGTGTCTCCAAAACAAGCTTTCAGTAATCATGAAGGGGGAGTCACTTTAACAAGCGATTGTAGTTTCAAATTGCTTTTTAATGCACTTTCATTTCTAAGTTTGATTCTAGCGGACTTCTGTCTATCTCAAACACACAAAATGTTTCTTGCATATTTTGTTTCCTAAAGTTTGTGATGCATTTATTGCAGATTTTGCGTTTTGGGGGATACCAAGATAAAACCAAAATGGGGATCGTGAGGCTCGAATATAGCAAAACCAATTTGCTTGAGGTTGACAGACAATATACAGAAAAATAAAACATAAAAACAGCTGCATTTGTATCATTTTCTAGGTGAGTCTGGCTTATTTTTTAACGCCCCTCGTTAAGCCAATTTCTTGCCAAAAGCTTGCAGTTTGGTGTCCCGCCGAGGTCTTTAAAGTGCTGTGTTCATGAATATATGTTGTATGACTAACAGTGTTTCTTTCAAACAACTAAACACCTGGTATCGTAATTATTTGATAGTGATTAGAAACACATGCTCTGCCATCATATATCAAACTGGCAATCACTGGATTGTCTGGTCTTTAATACATTGCCCCCATACATCTATATCCCAAACGTTTATATGCTATAGCACCCGTTTCTGTTTCAAATTATCAACAATGGATCGGTAAATAAATTCATCTGTTAAACGCAATTTTAGACATATCAACCGACGAAGAATAAGCTTAGATTAGTGTAAACTGTCCGAAAACATTTCTAATTAAGTCCAAACGCTTTTCTGTTTAAACCCTAAACAGGAATGGCGCGTCCCATGTTAACACATTTAGGGTCTAACCACTTAGCAGGGGCAAAGATTTTACAGATTTTAAACATCACTATATATCACAAGCATATTTAGATTTTAACAGAATTTAGAGTACATACTATACTTACGTTGAAATTGTTTTCCTTTTAGGATCGAACCATTTTTCGTTCAGTCCATCCAGTCACTTCATTGAATGCAAGTGCAATACACAATGTCCATATAAGCCAGGTCTTTTGAATAACAGAAAAGCTGTTGGTAACAAAACATTTACCTTACTTTTATACATACAACCGATATCCTGGAAAGTGTCTAAGGCGCGGTTACATCTTACGGTCATGAACGTTGTTCTACTGGATCGTAGCTTTCGCTCGTTAGATACCAAACCATTCACTCGTTTCATAAATATGGTATTACTCGGGACATCGTTTAGTATTCTCTATATGTCATCTGGCTGTTAAAAAAATCAGCAATGTCACTCCCTAACGCACCATTTGATATGACAGCAAAGTAAAGAACAACGTTATACAGTGTTAATATTTTTTAATCTGTCACGTTCTCTTTTCGAGAATACAGTTAACTCGTTGGAGAAGAAGGTTAACGTATCTGAATCTGTCCGATGACTGCGAGACAGAAGGCTGCCACCAACATCAAACTTGAAACCGACGTTGCTGATGACCCTGAAATCAAACAAAATTATGTTAATTTAAACAAAGGAAGACACATCAACCACCCCAAACGTAGAAATTTAGTAAACCGTTTTGAAGACCACCAGCAAAACCTGTATGCTTATTTATATGTGTATTTGTATGGGGACAGGGGTGCCCTAGTTGCATTGACGCCACAAACCGCTTTGTAGAGTAGCACAGAAACCCATTTATCATATATTGTACCCATGTAGATCTGGGTTAGAATTGATCTTCAGCAACCCATGCTTGGATTCGAACCAGATATGATAGGGAGCGAGTGAGTTTAGTGTTTACGCCACACTCCATTAACTAGTTTCATAAAGAAAGCAATATTCACGCTTGAACTTTTTGTTTTTTAAAGTTTTATCAACGTCTCTTGGCTGCTTTCTCCCATGTCGTCCTTGTCCATTCCCTGAAGCTCCTCGAGTGCATCTGTGGCTTCAGATGACGTCAGACTGGAGATGGTAGACAAAACGTTTGCGAACAGATCACTCGGCAGATCGAACACATCCGACAACTTCGACAACCTCCTGTTCCTTGACGGAAATAGATCACTGATTTTTATTGAGAAATGACGTTTTCTTTTTAGACTTAGCCTCGACAGAAATCTTGAGAAGGATAATCGCAGTCGCACATACAGCGATGATCAGCTTGTGCCCTCTCATGTTTGTCTGGAACTAAATAAAACAACAGTTTTAGGAATTAAGAGTATCTTTAGGATGGCTGTGCGTGAGACATTAATATTACCGAACACCAACTATTGCACTATTTCCTACTGGCAAAACAATTTGATCACCCCAAAGAATCTAGTTCAATTCAACACACACACACACACACACACACACACACACACACACACACACACACACACACACACACACACACACACACACACACACACACACACACACACACACACACACACACACACACACACACACACACACACACACACACACACACACACCTGTCCTCCAGTCCTGTCTACTGTCTAAGTACCTCGCGACCTATTTCTTCAATGCATTCCTATTTCTAATCCCGTCTATTCTTGTCTGCAGCTGGTGGCAACACAAACAGCGACTAACGGACACCAACCCTACTCCAGTTATTTCAATACAACAAACAAGGAAATAATTAATTATAACTGGAAATGTACTGATATTTAGTGTCGTGTATGCTGAAACGATTGTATACATCATTGTGCAAATCCCGTTTTCGTGTGAAAATATGACCATATTTGTCCATGAACTTTGTTTAGTAATCTTACTTTACCTGAGGAAAAATTGATATAAGTATCATGAAAATTAGGAGGAAAATGAATAATCCATAATTTTCCTCCTTTGCATGCATATAATTGGAAGGTGACCTGCGTATTGGCGTGTTTATCAGGCTGTGGTTCATTTGACTCTTGGGCACTTTCCTTCACAACTGTCATTCCGTGGAGAGCTGTCACTTATTCAGGTAATGCTAATGTAATGACAGTTTGTCTCTATATATGACTGGGGGCACCCACGAAGATCCAGGTTAGAATTGGTCTTCAGCAGCCCATGCTTGTAGTGACTAATGGGATCAGGTTCTCAGTCTCACTGACTTGGTTGACACATGTCATCTTATCCCAATTGTGTAGATCGATGCTCATGATGTCAGTCAGTGGATTGTCTGGTCCAGACTCGATTATCTACAGACTGTGGTCCTATAGTTGGAATATTGCTGAGTTTGGCGTTAAACAACAACTAGGAGCAGAAATTTAGGCCAATGGCTGTTTAGTTCGCCTGTGATGCCCGTGACAGGGTTTAAATTCCAAATTAGCACTGTTTTGAGTCCGTAGTTATCGTTTTAAATCAAAGGACCATTTCACACTGAGTAACAGTTTTCGTATTATAACTTGCATTAAATAGTTGCTATAGCGTTAGTGCCATTCGTAACTACTCGCCTCTTTCCGTGACCTACAAGACCATTCGTCACCACTCGCCTCTTTCCGTAACCGCTATTCGGCTTGTCCGGGAATAAGACGATTTGGTCACGAATGCTACAAGACGGCTTGCCGGAATGACACGAGTAGTTACGAATGCATTGGTGCAGGTAAAAGTGGATACTTCTCACACATCTCATACAACTATCACAGTCTCACTGTATTAATTGAAAGTATCCCACAAAACATCACCGATGTTCTGAAATCTATGTACGCCTCACTGTGAATGCGGTAATATTGTAGCAGCAGAGTGAGTGAGTGAGTGAGTGAGTGAGTGGGTGGGTGGGTTGCTGGGTGTATGGGTGGATGGGTGGGTGAGTGAGTGAGGTTTTACACTGTTTGTAGCAATAATCCAAGCAATTTCATTCGGGGATACTAGAAATGGACTTCACAAATTGTAGCCGCATTGCGGGTCGTCGGCGTGACTAGCAAACGCACTAACCACTAGGCTACTCCACCGTCCCTACGAGGTTTGATACAAACGGTATGGTCTGTGTATGCGTACACGTTCCCTCGTCTTAACGATAAAGTCAGTGACGTCAGTTCACTGTCATCTTAGACATGTCCGCGTTTGCTTACTGAACACTGACAAATGTGTGTTTTGTTTTATTTGCAGGTGATCATGGGAGTAAGGTCTGATGTCCTCATTGTCTGTGTGGTGATGTCCATCATTTTACAGATGGCGTCTACCGATAGGGACGGGATCGGAAAGCCCATGGATTCAAAACTTAGTCGAAAGAAGAGGGCTGTTGGATCTATTATCGCTGGAATCGCCGGTGCGATACCTACTGTACTACCATTTGTGAGAGATCTTTTAAGTTCTCGTAGAGCAGATACTGAAAAGGCTGTGGAAGAGATGAAGAAGGCGATGGAAACAGAGAAGATGACAGAGAAGCTGAACGGTAGAGCCGAGATGCTGCTGGCTGTCCTCCAAGCTAAGATGGCGATGGATGGTAAGTTGTCTATTTAGGCACAAGGTTCCCGTACCACAAAAACGATTTTAGCGCAAACGTGATCGTACCATATATCACCATTTTTACCTTTCGTGAGGTTAGTGGGTAATGAGGTCGGGTGGTTATGTTCTTTAACATGGTTGATGCATGGAATCGATAGCCAGTTGCATAGATCGATAGGATATATCGATAACAAAATCACGGGTGTGTCTGAATGATAGCGTTGCTATGTCCATATTACCATCTTTACCATGGGTGTGATCAGTGGGTAACGAGATAGAATATATCGATAACATAAATCACGGGTATCTGAATGATAGCGTTGCTAGGTCCATATTGCCATCTTTACCATGGGTGTAGTCAGTGGGTAATGAGATAGAATATATCGATAACATAAATCACGGGTATCTGAATGATAGCGTTGCTAGGTCCATATTACCATCTTTACCATGGGTGTGGTCAGTGGGTAATGAGATCGGGTGGTCAGGTTCTTTAACATGGTTGATGCATGGAATCGATACCCAGTTACATAGATCGATAGAATAAATCGATAATATAAATCACGTGTGTGTCTGGTACAGAGTCGTTGGGTTTATAAAAGTCATGCTACTTGAACATTGCATAGTGTGCCTTTCTACAACAAACTAATAACGTCAGATTCGACGTTTTTAATTTCTACAACACACTTATTTGGGCAGAAATGAGGTCTCTTGATATTTGACATTGAACCTTTTTCTGTTTTCTACAGCTTCATCTGCCACTGCCTGCAGCTGCAGCTGGTTGATGGTGTCTTGTGCCACCTTTCTGGTGGCCTTCAACCTGCCCCGACACGTGCTCTGAAATACCCGTGTGCCCATAGTCCCGCTGGGCTTCAGAAATTGCTTCTTTGCCTCAGGCTTTGACAACACCCATTTCTACACCAATCACTGAACTGCCTCTCGTATCATTCTTGCTTGGACAACATCATCCTCAACGCCACTCCCTGAACTCGCTCATCAGGACATTTGTTAACCTGGAAATTTGTTATTCCGGACAAGTGTAAAGAAGGATATTTGCTAATTAGGAATTTGTTAAACTGGAAACTTGTTAATCCGGACAAGTGTGAAGAAGGATATTTACTAATAGGAATTTGTTAAACTGGAAACTTGTTAATCCGGAGATGAGTGAAAAAGGATATTTACTAATAGGGAATTTGTTAAACTGGAAACTTGTTAATCCGGACAAGTGTGAAGAAGGATATTTACTAATAGGGAATTTGTTAAACTGGAAACTTGTTAATCCGGACAAGTGTGAAGAAGGATATTTACTAATAGGGAATTTGTTAAACTGGAAACTATGTTCCCTTCCGGACAAGTGTGAAGAAGGATATTGACTAATTGGTTAAACTGGAGCGTTGGCTCCGGAGATGAGTAAAAGGATATTGACTTAAGAATTTGTTAAACTGGAAACTTGCTAATCCAGAGATGAGTAAAAAAGGATATTAAATAAGAATTTGTTAAACTTGAAATGTGTTTGTTGTTATGAACAATATTCATATGAGTTATCACAAAGAGTAAACCAATCAATATGGCCTGCCTCACAGTCGTTAAACAATACTATTTTCCCTTCTTCCAGCAGAAAAACTTCTTAGCTTCTATGAAATCTATATGTCTTCAGAGAATAAGCTTCAGTCTAACTGCATTAAAGCTTTGATCATACAGTGTTGTTTGTCGTTTATTTCGTCACCCGTATGTATACGTTAATATAAGTACATTCGAAACATTTGCCAGCATCTAGACCTATACATTTTAGGCCAGAGACTAAACGGGTGGACAGACAAGGGACTTAACGATTGGACAGAGCAGGGACTAAACGGGTGGACAGTCAAACGACTAAACGGGTGGACAGACCAGGACTAAACGGATGGACAGACCAGGGACTAAAAGCGGATGGACAGACGACTAAACGGGTGGACAGACAAGGGACTAAACGGGTGGACAGACCAGGGACTAAACGGATGGACATACCGGGGACTAAACGGGTGGACAGACCAGGGACTAAACGGGTGGACAGACCGGGTATCTAAACCAGTGCATGTACATGCTGGCTATTACCAAAGTTAGACAGACCGGGGACCAAACGGGTGGACAGACATGGGACTAAACGGGTGGACAGACCTGCTATTTAAATCAGTGCATGTACATGCAGAAAGACCGGGTATTACCATAATTAGGCAGACCGGGTACTATAAAGGATGGACGGATTTGATATTTTAAACAAGGATACAGAAATGGGAGGACACTATATAGTCCATTCTGATGTCATTCAACTATAGTATCAATATGGTTTTATCAGTAATTTCTTATGATGAGAAAGAATGCTAATTTGAGACACATTGCACAAATACCGTGGAATCTGTCTATTACGGACTGACCTGGGACCGAGTCATTTCGTCCGGATTGTAAAGCAGTCCGGATTAGAAAACTTTGACCCGTTAACGCGTTCACCCTCTCTATGAGTTACCACCCTTTGTTAAGGACAACCAACAACTTGAATCGTTCTTTTTTGGTTTTTATTTATGCTCAATATATTATTTCTACTTTCATTGGAAAAAGTCTGTTAACATGAATTGCTTCTGCCTCTGTAAATTTCTAATGTTTTCAGTCATTAACCATTGTGAGCAGGAGTAACAGAGATGCGGCATGGACTGAATAAGTCAGAGAATTTGAACTTGTGGAATTCTGGCCCAAATAGTCGTGTTTGATGGGAGCTAAGATTTAAACAGACATGAAATGGTTAATCGACGGTGATGTATTCAGTGGTTAGCGTATGTAACTGACGTACAAAAGAAAGTATACACCCATGCTTTGGTAAATTTTAAAATATTGTCTTAAACACAGCGTTAAAATTAGAAAAAGTGTTTTAATTATGACTTACAAGTCACAAACATTGTGTACGTGTTGCAATAACACCAGATATCGTACCCAGTTACAACGTTGCTAGAAAAATATTTGTTTATTTGGGAATAGTCCCAAAACACCAGGTGTGTAGTTTCTTTGTACGTCAGTATATGTAGCTAGCCTAAAGTTTATAGTGCTTAATTCCGTGACACACAAACAATATAAACATCGCAAACAAATTACTGAAGTATATTGTAAGCAACGATCTACGTCATCGAGGTATACAAATCGTTTATTTCGGACACAATATAGTCCATTCTGATTTATTCAAATAATGTATAATGCTTTTATCAGTAATTTCTTATCATACAGAGAAACATTGAGACACATATATACTCTTCAAAAAGAAGAAACGCATAAGCCATATTTACACTGACTGACTGACTGAGTTTGGTTTTACGCCGCTTTTAGCAATATTCCAGCAACATCACGGCGGGGGACTCCAGAAATGGGCTTAACACATTGTGCCCATGTGGGGAATCGAACCCGGGTCTTCGGCGTGACGAGCCAACGCTTTTACTACTACGCTACCCCACCTCCCCCATATTTAGAAGAATGTATTGCCATTGTTTACGCCATCGAGGTTCAAATAATTTATTTCCAAAAATTTATTCATTCTTTCTGTTGCCTCTCGACCCATGAAAGTCCGGTTAGAATTGATCTTCAGTAACCCATGCTTGTCGTAAGAGGCGACTAACGTGATCGGGTGGTCAGACTCGCTGGCTTGGTTGACACATGTCATCGGTTCCCAATTGCGCAGATCGATGCTCATGATGTTGATCACTGGATTGTCTGGTCCAGTGCGGTGTAAAAATAAAAGGTTGCCTCTGTCAGGACAGTTTATGACGAAAGTGCTGCGCGATGCCACCGTGTCTGATACATATAACCGTTCCTGGTGAAACTGTTTCCTGGAGAAAAGGACCCCAGTCATTGTAAATGTTGGTTCATTATGAAAATTATCAATGATATAGTTTTATCACTCTCAAAATATTTAACCGTGTAAACATATCTCAGCAATTTTTAGTCAGTTTTTCCCCAATTAAGTAGGTATAGCTGTTGCTCTGTGTTGGGTGTGGCAGTACGAACACTTAGCATAAATTACCTAACTAATTGGACTGGCGGTGGGGTAGCCTAGTTGTTTGCTCGTCACCCAGGTTCGATTCCCCATAGGGGTACAATGCTGGAAGCTAATTTCTGGTGTCCCCCTGCCGTGATATTGCTGGAATATTCCTAAAAGCGCCGTAAAACTAAACTCACTCACTCACTCACTCACTTTGGTGAAACCCTTGAGCATGAGTATGGTACTGACACACCAAATTGCAGACATCTGGAAAAATACAGTGCACGTGTTACATCGTGTACATCGTCGTTGACGGACAACGTGCTCAACTCAACAGTTCATTTGTGAGATGCATGAATTCGTTCATCAAATTCATACAAACTTGAAACCAGCTTCTAAAGTAATTAGAAACACAACAGACAAAAGAAAAAAAAGGAAAAAAAAAATAACCAATATAAATGGAATCTATCTTTAGTACATTCAGTATAACTGTGCGCTCTTTTAACACTTTAAAAACATTACGGCACATATAAGGACATATATAAAAATATTCTTATTTCTCATTATGGCCCGACCCAAAAATTCGAATCGACCCTATGATTTCAAACAAATTTTACATAGAGAAAATGCACATTTGACTTGAAAATGTGCATTAATTTTTCACACTGTTAGGTTTTGATTTTCTATCGGAGAAAAGGTTTGGATTTCTAAATCAAGGGCTTCTGGACATAAAATAAAATGCAAAATATTAATCCGCCCGCCCCATATTTGTTTGAAAATTGATAGAAACAAGAATATTTTTTTGCATGTGGCATAAGCATATACTTCATAAAGAGCAAAGAGAGTTACTTCTCTAAATCGTGTTATCCAGTTATGCAAATAGAAATACCTATGTTTAACTCAGGGGCAAAAAGTACAAACAAATAACCGAAACAAAAAAAGAAATTACAAATGACAATTGTTTTTCGGTGTTTCGGCTTCCATTTTCTGCCTCGTAACCAATTATTACCTTTGTAATTTTATTGGTGAAATGTAGTTTTCAAGCGTATACTTTCGTTTCACGTCAGTATATATACCTTACACTGACGAAAACGAGGGATGAGTTTCTAGTTGTTTAGGTAGGCTGTTAACACCATAAGGGCGACGGTGCCAGCGAGAGAGCCCCTCCAGGAAGTGGACCCTGTTGAATAAAAACAATGAGGGTGAGCACATGGGTCTGATTATTTGCAGAATAATAATGGTTTATCTGATTATTTGACACTGGAATAAAAACCGACGATTAGTTCCAAGGACTCTTGAACGAGTGAGTGAGTGAGTGAGTTAAGTTTTAGCAATATTCAAAATATATCACTGCGAGGGACACCAGAAATTGGCCTCACCCATTGTACCCATGTTGGGAATCGAACCCGAGTCTTCAGCGTGACAAACGAACACTTTAACCACTAGGCTGCTCCACCGCTGCAGGCCTAGGGTGAGCCCAGCAGCTATTTCCAAGCATGGTGTGTTCCTTGTCTGACAAAGACAATGAAAGCCTATAGGGCTAACTGTCTGAAAGGGAGACTCGCCTCTGGCTTCTACCCGGTTGTCTGACATTTTCACTGGGGCAATTTATTTAGATATAATTGCATTGTAAAACATTGCCTATTTTAGGGTCAAATGTTTAACGTTAACTTTTCCAAATTTCTGAGCTGTGGCGAATACCGTAAACTGGTTCTTTGACTTGCAATCAATGTTTGGATTCTTATAAACGTGTTCAACTTATTAAATTATCTCAACGTGAAGGTCCGGGTTAGAATTGATCTTCAGTAACCCATGCTTGTCGTAAGAGGCGACTGACGAGGTCGGGTGGTCAGTCTTGCTGACTTGGTTGACACATGTCACCGTATCCGAATTGCATAGATCGATGCTCATGCTGTTGATCACTGAATTGTCTGGTCCAGACTCGATTATTTACACACCACCCCCATATAGCTTGAATATTGCTGAGTGCGACGTTAATCTAGAACCAACCAACTATTAAATTAATCCATGTCAATACTGTGAAAACTGGATTGTCTGGTCCAACGTCGATTATACATTTGCCATCATATGTCTGGAATATTGCTAGTGAGACGTTCAAACACAAACAACAGTGTAAATAATCGTGATGACGGGTATACCCACCATTAGCAGCGATATCTTTATCGACCTCGCTTATCAGCTTCTGCACTCGCCTTGCTTCATCGGAAGACTTATCACCTATCTTCTGATAGATGGACTTCAGATCGTTAAGCGTTTTCTTCAAGTCATCCAGTCCCATGCTTGGCAGGTTTTCGGCGATTTTGTTGTACGTTTCTTGCGTAAAGGTCTTAATGCTGGATCCAGCTGACGCGAAAAGATTACGAAGGTCATCGAAGATATCCCGTTTGACAACCTTGTTACCGGACAGTACCTCATGCTTTGCCCCGGCCACCTCGGCAGCCAGACACAACGACGTGGTCAAAAGGAGAAGATAACTCTGGATACGCATGCTTCTGTTTCTGAAAGAGTTATGTTTCGTTAGTAAGTGACCAACCACTTCATATTCCTGTACAGTGCTGAACTGTTGTATGAAAATTAGATATTAGAGCTGCAAAATGTGATAGTTGTTAAATAAAAAATATGAGACTAGATACTATTTTTAAAAACATAAACCCGCAACAATCTTCCTTCTCCTTAACCAAATTTCCTCACAAATATACTGGGACAATTCAGTTTTTCGATAAATTAACAGCATGTCGCTTGTGTCAAGAGCGGCGACGCCATGTTTTCGGATGAATCTGGGTTAACGTTAGCCTGGAGAGAGCCTTCCATTACAGGCACAACAGAGCGTAGCATGGAGAGAGCCTTCCATTACAGGCACAAGAGAGTGTATCATGGAGAGAGTCTTCCATTACAGGCACAACAGAGTGTATCATGGAGAGAGCCTTCCATTACAGGCACAACAGAGCGTAGCATGGAGAGAGCCTTCCATTACAGGCACAACAGAGTGTAGCATGGAGAGCGCCTTCCATTACAGGCACAAGAGAGTGTAGCATGGAGAGAGCCTTCCATTACAGGCACAACAGAGTGTAGCATGGAGAGAGCCTTCCATTACAGGCACAACAGAGAGTATTACATGATGAGAGCGTAGCATTCCATTACAGGCACAACAGAGCGTAGCATGGAGAGAGCCTTCCATTACAGGCACAACAGAGTGTATCATGGAGAGAGCCTTCCATTACAGGCACAACAGAGCGTAGCATGGAGAGCGCCTTCCATTACAGGCACAACAGAGTGTAGCATGGAGAGAGCCTTCCATTACAGGCACAACAGAGCGTAGCATGGAGAGAGCCTTCCATTACAGGCACAACAGAGTGTAGCATGGAGAGAGCCTTCCATTACAGGCACAAGAGAGTGTAGCATGGAGAGCGCCTTCCATTACAGGCACAACAGAGCGTAGCATGGAGAGAGCCTTCCATTACAGGCACAACAGAGTGTAGCATGGAGAGAGCCTTCCATTAGAGGCACAACAGAATGTAGCATGGAGAGAGCCTTCCATTAGAGGCACAACAGAGTGTAGCATGGAGAGAACGGACGTTTTCATTTTGTTACCTATAGACAGAGGAGTACACCAATAGCCCACAGAGGAACGGAACGCGTAGTACAATATATGGCATAATGAACTGTTCCATTGTTGGTCAGTAGTAACAGGAGCTTATCCTAATCACCAAATCAGTTGTGGATGTGTGGTCGGTGGACGTACATTTCAATCTGCCCCACTGTTTCACAATGGCGAAAGGAATGTGAGTCAGTGAGCGAGTGTTCGTGCCTGCCATTATGTCCTTACACAATCCGGGACACAACAGCCCGAGTCGAGCGGTAGTCTCACTATAATCTCTTTCACAATCTCGAACCATGCTATTTTCCACTTCGCCCAACCCTTATGATACTGCTAGGGCCTCAAGTGAGGCAATTCTAGATTGTTTTCAGGCGCTGGATCGCCCGTCTCACCTGGAATCCTTTTCAATTTAAAATGAGTAGATGGTTCAGTCAAAATGGTATGTACTCTGAGACTAAGCCTTATAAGTAAGTCTAAGTGACACAGTTATATCATTGTAATGGTTGCTGTTTGTATGATAGTGTTGGGAAATTACACAATTAAACACAACCATTTCACAGGAAGGCACCATACACACAGAAAATCAGAATGATGATAGATGAACATCGTGATTATGAGATGTGTATTGATTTATCAAAATAAATACATATATGATATAAACCTACCGAGAGTACTTGTTGAATCGCTATGCTGTGAAGGCCTCCGTGGAATGTCGGACAGGAATAGAATGTGAATAGGCGAATAGAAAAGACCGACAATGGAGAAGTCGGCAACCGGGCGATTAGCTGCTTGGCAGGTGTCTTGTCTCTTGTGTAACACGATGTGTCTGGTTGAGATCTCTGGTTGCTCTGGGAAAACGACTGGCGTGGATTCGGGGTTGAGTTTGTTTGTCACAAGTGGCGACTAACTGGACCGGGTGGTCAACAACTCTCCTAGACCCGGCCTTGAGCTTGTTTGTCCTGAGTGACCTGGCCCCGATATCTCGAAACAAACTTAAGTTTTTACTCAAATTACAAACTGAGTTTGAGATTTTGACTCAATTGAGTTTTCTTCCATTTTCAGGCAGATCACCAACTTGTTGAGTTGCATCTGTTACAGATTCAGTAGTGTGATCCACTCCATGGCAGTGGAGGGGGGTCTGCCTGAATGTGAAGCTCACCTACCTATCAGTCAGGAATGTATTCCCAGTGAGTATAAACATCTTAATATATCTGTGCACAAAAAGCCGTCTATTTAATATCATTAAAAAAAGAGATTTTCCAATAATGCCGATAGACATCCAAATTGTTTACATTTTGTGAGTAGAGTTCTTTGATATCTTTTAAGTTTGGAAGTCTAAATAGATCAACAGGCTCTGCAGATGGATAAAATGTCAAAACGTGTACTCTCTCTTAGATAAATAGGCAATGTCTGGTCTACTGTACTTGTAGATAGTATACCTGTCAATCATCAAAAAAAATTCAAAATTCGTCATATTTGTTCCAGATTGTATCTTGCCTGTTGATGTCCTCATTGACGATCAGGGTATCCTGCACGTCCCCTCCACAAAAAATAATTTGAGCAAGAAAAGAAAGTTACTAGATGATGAAGTGTCTGTTCTCCAAGCGGAAAGAGACAAATACATTGCAGAATGTGAAAAGTTAAAGCAAGAAGCCATTTTTTTTCAAAATTAAGGCTGAGGTGGGAGAGCTGAGAAAAGAAAAATTACAATTATAAAATAATGAAGCTGAAATGTCAAAATGAGCAGTGATCTACATAGAATCCAACTAGCATATTTGTACATGAAATATTTAACAGAATGAAAATTTGTTTGTTCATTATGTTATATAAGGAGTCATCGTTTGAAGATAATTTGTACAATATTCAGGTGAAGTATGACTGACAAAGATAATTTCTAACATTTGTTCCATTCGGATCATCAGCAACTTGGAGAGTGAATGTATCATCATTACAATCATTGTAATTACATCTTGGCGGTCAATACCGATACTATGTAATATTATACTTGTAACAATTACATTACATGCACTCTTGGGTGACATGCACAAACCACTGTGCAGACAAGAAAATCTTCGCTTTAAGGTCACATGCAACCAAAAAATCAAACATAATTAAAACACAATTATCACCTTTTCATGACATATAATATACATTGCTGATTGTGAAAAAACATATAAACAAACTTATAAGTGTACAATCGCAAATCAAAAGTGCAATATGTTGTACTTGGGTTTACTTCCCAAGAAACGAATCGAAGCAGCCGGGATACCGAACCCAGTCAGAGCGGGTGGGTGTGCACTCAAGTGTAACGGCTGGTTCATTTGCAGATGCCCTCAGGGCTCATTGTGTGTGTATATACAGTACAACCAGAAATTATTGGAATTTAAGATTGTATTTTTTTTTTCACTCATTACTCATGTATTAACTGGTAATATTTGCAGAACATAACTCCAGATTCAAAGACAGGTGAACAGTTAGTATTTTGTCAAGTCACCATGGGCAGCAATGCAGGCTTCAATGCGGCGGAGCATACTACTGATCAAAGAAGTTGGAAAGTGGTCCATGCTGTCCCAATATCGGACCACCTCTTCTTTCATTTCAGCAATATTTGTCAGATCTTTCTTAGACACTTTCCTTCATAAGTCCCCAAACATTTTCTATTGGATTTAGGTCAGGGCTATAGCTTGGCCAATCTAATAATGTCACATTTTGGGTCCGAAACTAGGCCTGTGAATGCTTTGAACGATGTCTTGGGTCGTTGTCCTGCTGGAAAACCCAAAAATTTCCATAGTACATGTGAGCAGATGGAAGTAAATGTCCCTCGAGAATATATGTGTATTACTCACTGTTCATATTCCCTTCAAATACACAGAGGGGCAGATATGCCACCCCAAACGTTAAATTTCGGACTGTACTTTGGGCGCTGATACAAAGCTTTTTCAGTTTGTTTGGTCCAGAATTTCAGTGTATTAGGAAACAGCAACACAGAACTTTCATCTGAGAAAATCACATCGTCCCAGTTAAAATGTCTATGCTGTAAGCACCAGTTCAACCTTCGTTCCTTTTGTTCAGGTTTCCTGATCGATGATGGAATTCCTCGACTTTTCTGCCAACCCATTGCATGCAGCTCAGTTCTAATTGTCTCCTTACAGACAGCCACAGTTCCTCTATTAATCATATCCAGCCTTAAGTTTTCTAAACTCCTTCGTTTGTTTTTAGAAACAATAATACCAAGCCGCCTCCTGTCACCGACAGTCAATATTCTGGGCCTACCTGCGCCTCCCTGGTTCTCAATGCCATATCCATTTGTTATATTTTTCAAAACACGATAAACAGTGGACAAATGGATGCCTATTCTACTTGAAATCACTTTAGCTGATCTGATGTCCTTGTTATAATACTCAAAAATCAACTTCTTCTTCTCTAAATCATCCATACTGAGGATCACTGAAAATGTCATCTGCTAGCAAGTAAACAAAGGGGGATAACTCTTCACAAACTAATGAAAAAGGATTAACGGAGTTGTCTCTCTTGAATAAAACCAAGCATTTGATAGCTGGTCAAAGTTGTTTATACTAGAAGTCCAATTAAACATATTCCTAATATTCTCAATAATTTCTGGTCATACTATACTAGTATATACTTAGAATGGTGGCTTTCAACCCGCCACGACACGTCCTCTGAAATACCCGTGTGTCCATTCTGCGGCTGAACTACAGAAATTGCCTCTTTGCCTCAGGCTTTGACAACACCTACTTCCACACCACTTGCTGAACGGCCTCCACCGTATATATCTTGGTTGGACAACATCATCCTCAACACCAGTCGCTGAACGGCCTCTATCGTATACAAGCTACGACAGCATCCGCTTCAACGCCTCTCACTGTAGTGTCTCAACCTTCTACGAGCTTCAAGAACATCCACTTCAACACCTCTCACTGTAGTGTCTCAACCTTCTACAAGCTTCAACAACATCCACTTCAACACCACTCACTGTAGTGTCTCAACCTTCTACGAGCTTCAACAACATCCGCTTCAACACCTCTCACTGTAGTGTCTCAACCTTCTACAAGCTTCAACAACATCCACTTCAACACCCCTCACTGTATTGTCTCAACCTTCTACAAGCTTCAACAACATCCACTTCAACACCTCTCACTGTAGTGTCTCAACCTTCTACAAGCTTCAACAACATCCGCTTCAACACCTCTCACTGTATTGTCTCAACCTTCTACAAGCTTCAACAACATCCACTTCAACACCCCTCACTGTATTGTCTCAAGCTTCTACAAGCTTCAACAACATCCACTTCAACACCACTCACTGTAGTGTCTCAACCTTCTACAAGCTTCAACAACATCCACTTCAACACCTCTCACTGTAGTGTCTCAACCTTCTACAAGCTTCTTCAACACCACTCACAGTGTCTCAACCTTCTACAAGCTTCAACAACATCCCTTCAACACCTCTCACTGTAGTGTCTCAACCTTCTACGAGCTTCAACAACATCCACTTCAACACCTCTCACTGTAGTGTCTCAACCTTCTACAAGCTTCAACAACATCCGCTTCAACACCACTCACTGTAGTGTCTCAACCTTCTACAAGCTTCAACAACATCCACTTCAACACCACTCACTGTAGTGTCTCAACCTTCTACAAGCTTCAACAACATCCGCTTCAACACCACTCACTGTAGTGTCTCAACCTTCTACGAGCTTCAACAACATCTGCTTCAACACCACTCACTGTAGTGTCTCAACCTTCTACAAGCTTCAACAACATCCGCTTCAACACCACTCACTGTAGTGTCTCAACCTTCTACGAGCTTCAACAACATCCGCTTCAACACCACTCACTGTAGTGTCTCAACCTTCTACAAGCTTCAACAACATCCACTTCAACACCACTCACTGTAGTGTCTCAACCTTCTACAAGCTTCAACAACATCCGCTTCAACACCTCTCACTGTAGTGTCTCAACCTTCTACAAGCTTCAACAACATCCACTTCAACTTCTCTCACTGTAGTGTCTCAACCTTCTGCAAGCTTCAACAACATCCGCTTCAAACCACTCTACTGTAGTGTCTCAACCTTCTACGAGCTTCAACAACATCCACTTCAACACCTCTCACTGTAGTGTCTCAACCTTCTACAAGCTTCAACAACATCCGCTTCAACACCACTCACTGTAGTGTCTCAACCTTCTACAAGCTTCAACAACATCCACTTCAACACCTCTCACTGTAGTGTCTCAACCTTCTACAAGCTTCAACAACATCCGCTTCAACACCACTCACTGTAGTGTCTCAACCTTCTACAAGCTTCAACAACATCCACTTCAACACCACTCACTGTAGTGTCTCAACCTTCTACAAGCTTCAACAACATCCGCTTCAACACCTCTCACTGTAGTGTCTCAACCTTCTACGAGCTTCAACAACATCCACTTCAACACCTCTCACTGTAGTGTCTCAACCTTCTACAAGCTTCAACAACATCCACTTCAACACCTCTCACTGTAGTGTCTCAACCTTCTACAAGCTTCAACAACATCCACTTCAACACCACTCACTGTAGTGTCTCAACCTTCTACAAGCTTCAACAACATCCGCTTCAACACCTCTCACTGTAGTGTCTCAACCTTCTACGAGCTTCAACAACATCCGCTTCAACACCACTCACTGTAGTGTCTCAACCTTCTACAAGCTTCAACAACATCCACTTCAACACCTCTCACTGTAGTGTCTCAACCTTCTACAAGCTT